AACTCAGAGTTCGATAGACCGGTTAAAAAGTTCTGAGTTTAAATCTTATGCGCACGGTTATTGAATGAAATAAATAAATAACATAAGTCCACTAGTTTGAATATGGTTAAATAACAACAGTGGAATAGTTTGAATACGGTTATTGGTTGGGTAGGTTTTACACACACACACACACACACACACACACACACACATATATATATATATACATATATATATATATATATATATATATTGTAGGCCTATTTGATTGAATTGTATAAAGGACAAAGAGGGAGAGGGGCCGGTGGCAAAGAAGAGAGATATGTAATTTTGAGGTGCGTGTTGTATCACCCCTTTATTTATAGTAGTAGAATAGGTAGAATCCTTACCCTAATAAGATTTCATCTCTAATAGGAAGTAAACTACTAAAGGGAATATACAAAGATACTCCTAGATACACTAGAATTTACACAATTACATTTCTAATCCGATAGGACTGCAACAATATATACACCATATCGAACTTCAACGATCCGAATCATCTATTTTTTCAAGTTGCACCTCATAGATTATCCTTGCAAAATATTAGCTAAATCGGAAATATTTAAGACATCTAATTGGGTTTAAAAAAATTAACGAATAATTTGTTATACAAGAAAGAATGAAATTTTATCTTGAGAATTAAATAGTCAAATGATTTCGGATTGAATTGAATTTTTGCAAGGATGATCTATGAATCGAAACTAACAAAATAGATGGTTCAGATCGTTGAAGTCTCGATTTATAGATCATCCTTGCAAAAATTCAATTCAATCTGAAATCATATGCCTATTTAATTCTCAAGATAAAATTTCATTGTTTCTTATATAATAAAGTATTCATTAATTTCTTTGAACTCAATTAGATGTCTTAAACATTTCCAATTTGGCTAATACTTTACAAGGATGATCTATGAGGTGCAATTTAAAAAATAGACGGGTTTAGATCGTTAAAATTTTATGTGGTATGGACTCCACAACCAATCCCCATTGTAGTGGCACAAGTGTCCAAACAAAACCTATATATTCGAATGTGTAAGTCAACTATATATCATGAGGTCGCATCTCTCTACACATATTAAGGACTCAAGATTGTGACTTGTGAGAGTGCCATATGCAGTATTATGCCAGTTATGTCTGAAAGCTATGCATACAAATTACAATCCTAAACTGGTGACTCCATGGCTGCAGGTCATTTTCCAATGGCATGAGGGCCGAAACATAAATCCAGTAGAAACCGATCGAATAACAAATTAAAGAGCGAGATCGAGCTCGACTAAACAAGTCATCACTGAGGACTGAGGAGGCAACTTAAAAACATGAAAGACCAAACCCAAAGCCTGCAACACCATCAGCTAAGATGGGTTTTCTCTCTTTATTCCACAAGGTTTTGGTATGGTACACCAACACCTTTTCACTCTCTAACTAGCTAGTAGAAATTTTTCAGTGGGGGACAAATTTTGTGGGATAATTGTGAGATGTTAGTGGTCTGTCGACTAGCTATATTTTGGTGATCAACCACTAACTCACTACCGCAACACAAAAGATTTATCCAGCCAAGAATGTTGCTTGCACCACAAGATGTGAGTGATGGGCCATGCTAACTTGCTCTGTTTTTGAAATATTGGGCCTAGAGCATTTCTCCTAGGTCTTTTTTGTAATAGCCAATTGGGCCAAAATCCAAAGGCAAGTATTGTTGCCAACACAACCTGCGCAGCAACGCAGCCAGCCAGAACTCCGTGGGGTGATGACGTCGGCCACGCTGATATTGCACCTGTAGCCTGAGTTATCGTTCGAAGTATTTGATACTATAGAAATAAAATTACTAGTTTGTTATTATTATCATTTTTTTTTAACTAACGATATTGCTAGTTAGAGTTGTAGTAAATAATATTTAAGCGAGAGGAAAGAGGGACGACAAAGAGATGGAAGAATGTGCTCATCCGTCTAGCTTGATTGATTTTCCTTTGGCTTTGTGCTTGAATTTATACTAATTATGATGGTCTTTACTTGTTTTCAAAGTATACAAATCATACAAAGAAATGATATTCTAGATCCTATAGGATTCCTACTTTTAATTTATACAATCACATTTTTAGAATAATACTAACTAGGGTTGGAAAAAAAATCCCGAAAATCCCAAACCGTACCGAAATAATCTTGAAACCGAACCAAAAACTTCCCAAACTGAAAATTCGAAACAGTTCGATACCCAATCCCGAAAGGTTTGGTACGGTATTGGGATCTCATATAGCCTTGTTTGGTATTCCTGAACTGAACATATCAATATTTTAATATAATTTTATATATATTTGAATTAATAATGGCCATTGGATTTAATTGAGGTTCAATCTCAACCGTTTGTTGTCACCTCACTTCCTCATGGACTTCAAACTCTCCCATCTATCATCTCACTTCCATAAAGCTTCCTACATCTGCTATCATCATTATGTCTGAAGCTATAATGACTTCCACCTCTTTGCTAGCACCTAGACTCTAGGCATATTGACTTTCAAATATAAAGCAATGACAACTTCGCCTTCACAATACAAAACCAACATGGCTTTCATACATAACCCTGATATTCTTTCTCTTTCTTTCTCTCCCTCATCTGAGTTCTCTCTAATTTCTCAATCGCCCAACCAATGTAGCCATCACGCACCACCACCAAATGACTTCGTGGTGCAACTACCACATGTCCACCACTACGTCGCACAGCCACCATGCTGCGCAGCCACCACGGCTCGCTTGTTGATTCTTTGTCTCTTAATCTCTCCCCCTTCCTTATTATCCACCTTTGTCGGCCTCGTGGGAAATCTTTGCACGGAAAATGGCCAATCCCGAACCGTACCGAAATCCTAAATTTTTTTCGGGAATCCCAAACTTTTGGTTCGGTTTTGGTTTTTGGAATCTCATCCAAAATAGATTGGTTTGGGATTTGGGTTATGAGTTTTGGTTCGGGATCCCGTCCCGAACCACCCTTAATACTAACTGCAACATTCTCCTTGAGTGTGTATAACTAAATAAGTAGTCGCATAAGATCTTAAGGTAATTGTGGAAGCAATAGATGAAATCTTTTCATCAGACACATGAACTACATACGTGAGGTTCCCAAGTATGGATGCATATAAAATTATAATCTCACCAGAAGAAGGAACAAACAGAGTTAGACTAACAACGGTGTGGTTTTAGTTAGAAGGACTCTGATGCCTAATTCAGAAAGACTGTAGAAAATAATAACAATATGGTGAAGGTTCTTAATTACCTGAATAAAGTGGCTGACCTTAGCTATTTATACAGAACTCAGGAGTTAACCTTAGCGTCCAGGTTCGTTAAACCTCTTAGTAGAGTGTTCCTAGGGCATTCATAAAGAATGTGTCTCGTTAGCCCGTTAGGGTTTGACTAACAGTCTACTATTTTGTCAAGTACAAAGTAATTATATGTGATAAGTTATACACGTGGTGTGTTCCCATTGGTCGGGACATTTTATGTTGCTACACTCGTAATCTAAGGAGAAAATGTGAATTAATGCAATGTCGATGCTTGAGATTAATAAGCAGTGGTAAATGCACATGTCAAGGGTATGGCCAACCCAATGTGGGTACCTCATTAAAACTTTGCCAGGTTAGCAAAAATCCAGTTAGAAAAAAATTCTCCTGATCTAAGGAAAAAATAGTTCACTAAGGCCAAGTGAGTATATTATAGAATACTCCCCTAGAACTCCCCATGAGAACCTTTGCAATTGAAACAGTGTAGGCAATACAACTCCTCAAATAAGTTTCAGGAAAGTAAACTTCGGTGGCGACTCCATGAAGAGATCAGCGAGGCTGCCTTGGAATCAGATATGCTTGATTTCAATTTTCTAATACTTTGCTGATGTAGACGCAATAAGCTTGGCATGGTCTCTTAGATCGTCTAGTCAATACAAGCGAAATTGTCTTCATTAGTTATTGTCGGGACTCAACGATGGATGAAAACATTCAAGTGTTTCAAACATGCTCAACGAAAGCTCTATTGTGCACGTGTGGCTTTGTGTAAGGTGATGAGCTTAGCAAAGTCTAAGACATCACAACTAAGGTCTATTTCGTGGACCTCCAATATATTGTGGCGTTCCTGGCAGTAAAGACATAATTCATCTTTGAGAATGTGACTTATGCGGGTTTGATGCGTTAGCATAACTAACAGGGTAAATATTACTTCAAAATTTTCAAGGGGGTTGGATCCTGAATTACATAGGGATGGAATAAACTTAAATTCCGTAGTACCTTGAAGACATCATAAAACGTCTTTAACACTATTCTAATAATGGCATACATGCACATAGAAGCAAATGTTCAGCCTAATAAAACTTTGGATTCCATAACCTCTACAGAGGAGTCAGTTTATATTTAATGTACAAGTGATCATGGGCAGTTCAAATGGCAACCAAGATATTCTCATAACAAGGCTCAAACCTCTTGCCAAGAAATGGACAATTTTTTTTTTTTCCAAGATCAACATCTCAGTTTTTTACTTTACTCGTGAGCCAGCTTTCTCATACTATTCTAGAGTCTAAGTACGATTCATGTCAACTACAGAGGCTTCAACTTTAGCCAATTTGGAATGATTTCTTTAGAGAACCCACAAGCAACATAGTTTACTTACATATCTCTAATTGATTAGTTACTCACATAGAGAGTGAACTCCTTGATCAAATTGAGGGGGTGTTCGAGGCTTATACAAAGTGTGTGTATATATATATATATATATATATATATATATATATATATATATATATATATATATCTATAGTGTGCGGACGGATTTGGCCTTCATTTTCTTCAATGTTTTCTGATTTTGGTGGGATTTTATAGTGGAATGGCCATTTTACCCTTGGTCATGTGTGTTGCGCGTGCGTGGCTATCGGGTTTTCTAGGGAAGATACTGAAGTGTCTTTCATTTCTCTCTTTCTTCTTCTTTTCTTCCACCTCTTCCTTCGCCGAAGCAACTAAAAATAAAAAACCTACTCGCGACTTCTTCCTCCCAATTTCGGAGCTTCTCTCTCTTCCACTGTCTTTCTCTCTCTCTTCCACTGTCTCTCTCTCTCTCTCTCTCTCTCTCTCTCTCTCTCCCCTTCATTTAAGCACCTCCATACACAGGCGTCGTTTCTCCCGTAATTATATATTTAATTATTTGAAAGTTAGTTCTTCTATATAAAATTCTTGAGCTTTTGATTACCTAAAATTTTCAATTTTCTACGATATAGGGTTTTTGGATAATTTCATGATTTAGTGATCCACACATTTTCCATAACCCTCTTTACGGAAGGTAAGCAATTTATCTTGCTTTAGATTTTAAAAAATTATTTACAAAAGAAATTTATAATCTGGTGATTTTCTAGGGATCCAAGGATTGAAAAAGCAAGCAAAGCAGGGAAGAAGGTTGGAAAAGCAGGGCTCTTTCATTTGCTTCCATAATTTCGTCCCCTTATCGCAGTGCAGTTCTTGCTATGATCTTCGTTTTCAGCCCTATTTTGCTTCGGGAACCTATTCTTGGCAAAAAAGACATCGTCCTTGAAACAGCTTGAAGCTCCACTGGGTTTCGAGGTAAGATTTTCTCTGTATAATCCCACCAAACAATTATCAAATTATTATTGTTATTCTTCTATTTGGAATTTGACTATTGTGATTAATTTAGATTTTTCAGGAAGCGGGAGGTTGTTTGTAGAGTGAGTGAGATGGAGACCGAACCGCCACCGGATAGTAATAACGATGAGGTGCAATCTCGATTTTTTGTTAAATTTTGATGTTAATTTCACAACATTTTCATGTTTCTCAATTCTTATCTATTTTGTTAAATTTACGTTAGCCTTCACCGTTGGCATATACCTCGCGACCTCATCATCATGTACTCAAGGTATAGATTTAACGCTGACTGTTTACAGTTTTCATATGGGTTTTTTGAATTATAAGAAATTTGGTCTTCCTAAGATTTAATTGTTAATTTTACGGTTTAATTGTTTTCCACTAATATGCTTGAATGGTAAATTAGTTGTATATATATTCAAAAAAAAAAAAATCTGAATCTATCGCTCTGGAACTCGGCTCACCCTGGGTTTTCGTTTTTTTAGGTTTTTGTTTGTGGCTCTCGAACTTGCCTCATCCACAAATTCGGCTTTGACCGTTATTTCTCCTCCTTGGCTTCTGTTTCCATCTCTGACCTGTTCAACTTCGATTGAGCTTGAGTAAGCAGTCCACGCTTGCCTTCTTTTACGTCCAAGGATAATTGGTATCAAATATTTGCATTTTCATTGTTCGAAGTAGGAGACACCATTTTTTTTCTTGATTTTTTTTTTTTTTTTTTTTTTTTTTAAATTTTTTTTTTCTGAAACTTAATGGTTCTGATTTCAATCCTCTTGCAGAAGATTGAGAACCAGAAGGTTGGAGGACAGGATGATCAAGTATTAACCCATTTTAAAAGAAAAGGTAAACCATGAAAATCCCAAAGTGATATCCCATGACCTACAACGATTTTCTTATCGATCAAATCATTATTGGAAGCCTACTCGGAGTCTCCATGTCTTGGAACGTAATTCTGGAGTTGTTATTAATTTTTTAAAATTATTTGATATGGGTTTTGTTTATTTGTGGAGTTAGATACTATTCTACTCATCTGCCGTTGGTTTTATGATTCTTGTTGTTGTGCTGCAGCGCGTTCATTAACAAACTTCCACTCCCGGAATCTCGACTTGAACACGTTGTCGATAACCTTCATCAAATTTGGGTCACTTTTGTCAATGTCCCAATTGGCCTGTCATGCAAAAAATTAATAAATTAAAATCTCATTATTATATTATATTTAACAAACATAATTATTATTTGACTAATGAAATTAACACATACAGCTAACTCATCAATCATGTGCATCTTCAGCTTCTCGAGGATGGGTCTCCAAGACTCCCAATCTGCAGTACATTTGGTACGCACCATTGCTCCTACATCAGACGAAATGTTGGGGCGCTTATTTGACTTCACAGTCCTTATTATTTCATCAGCAATGATTTGGTAACGACTCCCACCATAAGTATGTCGGACCTGCACCGCAGCTCTTTTCTTGTTGTCTGTCAACAAAAAATATTTTCATAATACTAAAGCTAAATAAAAACGCTATACAAATGAAAAAATTTCAAGGCAAACCTTTTCCAGAACTTGCAGTAAATACGGTATTTATTTCTCTGATTCAGATGCACCAAATATATTGACCTAAAATTGATCGCCACTTGCACGACGAAACCTTTGTCGCGCAAGGGTTTGCACAGCAACGACTTTGCCGCGCAATATGTATTTCAAAAATAATTACTACCTTAAATAAATTGATATTATATTCCATTCAATTAATACATTAAATAATTAATACCTTAAATAAATTGATATTATATTCCATAATATAAACAAATTTTCAGTTATAATATATGTCACGTCCCGGCCCAGACCCCCACCACATCCCGGGCTCGACTCCACCGTAGCACGATATTGTCTGCTTCTGGGAACTCACACGAGAACTTCCCAGTGGGTCACCCATCTTGGGATTGCTCTCGCGCGAACTCGCTTAACTTCGAAGTTCCTAAGGAACCCAAAGCTAGTGAGCTCCCAAAAAGTCTCGTGCTAGGTAGAGAGGGGAATATACATATAAAGCATAGAGGATCCACTCCCATGGCCGATGTGAGATGTTACAATCCACCCCCCTTAGGGGCCCGACGTCCTCGTTGGCATACTTTCGGCCAGGGATTGGCTCTAATACCAAATTGTCACATCCCGTCTCGGGCCTCCACCACATCCTGGGCTCAACTCCACCGTAGCACGATATTATCCACTTTGGGCTATGACCACACCCTCACGGTTTTGTTCTGGGAACTCACATGAGAACTTCTCAGTGGGTCATCCATCCTGGGATTGCTCTCACGCAAACTCGCTTAACTTCAAAGTTCCTAAGGAACCCGAAGTTAGTGAGCTCCCAAAAGGCCTCGTGATAGGTAGAGATGAGAATATATATATAAGGTGAGGATCCACTCCCTTGGGCGATGTGAGATGTTACAATATATATTTTAAAAATAATTACTACCTTAAATAAATTGACATTATATTCCATTCAATTAATACACTAAATAATTAATACCTTAAATAAATTGATATTATTTTCCATTCAATTAATAACTTAAATAAATTGGTATTATATTCCATTCAACTAATACCTTAAATAAATTGATATTATATTCCATTCATTCATTTAAATAATCAAACATGAATTAAAACATAATTAAGTCCAAATACATAACTTATATAAAAATAAAAAATAAAAAAAAAACCTTAAATTTAAAACTACTATTTCGATGGTCCTCCATTCCGCTGGACTTCATAATGCCACCTATTGTAACCTCCTTCCAATGCATCCTCAATCAACTTCATCAATTGTTCGTTCGTATCATCATCAAGAGTATACTTACATTGTTACACATATATGCAAATAATTAATTCTAACATATAACAAAAAGTTTCACAAAATTAATTATTGATCCATCAATAATATACTTACTAATAATTCATCCATCATTGCCTTCTTCGCCTTCTTGGGCACATCTTTCCAAGAACATCATTCGGCAGTAGGACAATTGTTTAGCATGGCTATAGCAATCGCATGCGCGAATTGAAAATGCTGCCTCAAATCATTCGGGTCGGCGTTAGTCATGCTCTGATCATTGTTTTTATCCTCCATCTCAACATAAACAAACTTGTGAAGAATAAGGCGGACAAAATTGTGGAGAGTAAGGAGAGCAGAAGTGCATATTTGTAGGAAGGCTAGGTCCTTTGTGCGACGAAGGTTTTGTCGCGCAAAGACCCTCACAAAATACAATGCAGATTCCTGTTGATTCACATGCACTGAATGCTCTGACTGAAAATTGACTGTAACTTGCATGACGAAGCCTCGCGCTAGTGTTCCTTGGTTTCCCAAGTGTTGAATGTGCTACCCTAGAAACTTAACAACCTTTGCACTATCAAGACTTTGTCGCGCAAAGCTTCAACGGGAAAAGCTTCGTCACGCATTTATTTTCCCACAAAAAAAAAAAAAAAAAAAAAAAAAAAAATTGTGCGTTTTTCTTATTAGATTTGCGTGACGAAGCTCTTCGCCGCACAACGTTGCACGACGAAGATTTGTTCATCGTTGCGCAAGGTCTCATTGCGCGAAGGAATATGCTTTGTCATGCAAATAGTTTTTCCTACTAGTAATTATATATAATTCAAACATTTTCTGAAATTCTTTTTCTATTTATCTCCTGATTTCAGTCAACGATGCTAAGCAAAACGAAAGCAAGCCCATTAGATTAAGGAAGTCCAATGGTACTCATTGTTCCTTGTTGTAGATAGTGTTGTAACTACATTTTCCACATGTATGTAAGTAGTATGGTATATCATATATAAATTTAAAACTTTCTACATGTTTTGTATAGTTTGAAAACCCACAACATCGCACAGACACTCTTGCTAGTATTTACTAAATGACCTAGTTAGACGTATGCCGCACTTGGCCCTACTTACTATATTTAATGGATCAATTTATGTGAAGAAAGAAAACATATATAGCTTTTTGGTTTTGTTTAAAAAAAAAGGGATATATTAAAAGCCAGTTGGTGCAGTATTTTAAGTTAATTAATACAATGTCACTCCTAAGTTTCATTATTTGCAACTAACTGATAATTTTGTTCTTTTCATTATTTGTCGAATAATGGTCTCGCAAGTCATCACCAGCAATGGAAATGGCTGATTTTGATTAGAGTTCAATGCTTCTCTTTTTTCCTGGACAAATTACAAAAGAACAAGTGCAAACCGAGGGGGCCAAACCACAGTAAGTAAAAATAAAACCCCATGAATCACTAGTTAAATGATGCGACAAAGTCATTATATGATGTGACAGTTAGGGGTTTTAGTGAAAAGTCAGAATAATTATTAAAAATAATATAATTTAAAGAATTTGACCAATATCTTAGAGTTGTTCCATCGTGGGCAATAGCCCGATGGAATGGCTCTCAAATAAGGCCAGATAGCCCGAGCAATGAGGTCCAGCGTGTGCTAGCGATTGAGCCCGAGCATGTCTGGAGGAGAGGCCCGGCATGAGTGGCCGGCCCGAGAACCCGAAGGCCATGTGATGCAAGGTTGACGTTTGAGCGACGTCAGCCACGTTTTATATATTTTTTGCGTCAAGCACGTGCACTTCAAGTGCGTGTGGGCATGTGTTGTCCAACAAGGTTTCAAACCTGGGGCCCGCGGCGTGTTTTAGAAATGTTACCGTTGGGGAGGCCACGTGGCTTCCCCATGTCCGTTGGATTTGAATGGCAACAATTTATGGACCGTTGGATTTCCAAAGTAAAAAAAAAAAATTTAAAAACCTTATTCAATTTCAACCATTGGATCTGAGATCAACAGTCCATGTTATTCGGCTTTATAAATAAATAAATAAATAAAAAGAAAAAACAGTTTAAAATTTTGAAATGTTACCGTTGTGCCACATGGCGCAATCTCGAGTGTTGAAATTCAATTTTTTTTAATCCAACGAAAGAGATTAATTATGTGAATAAAATTTTTTTTAAAAATGTAAAAAAATTTTAAAAATGTAAAAAATTAATAAAAATCCGAAAAAAAAATTTGAAAAATTTAAAAAAAAGAAATTTTATTTTATTTTTCTATAAATACCTTCTCATTATCTTTTACCTTATACCACAATTTCATATTTTCTCAACTACTTTCAACCACATTCCTATCTTTCTCTTAGTTTCAATCCAATTTTTTTCCAATAAAATGACTAATGATACAATTTTTGTAAGAATAAGACATTATAAGAAGGAAGCAGAAATTATGAATAATGATAGAGATCTTGAGAAAATTGGTGTGAGATTTCTGAGGATGGATGGTGGATTATATGGAGGATTCAGAAAGGATTAGGTTGTAGATAATGTCACGTGACATGCCGTTATTCGTTAAAAATCTGATCGAAATCTATCCTAAAAAATTGTAAACAGATTGTGACATGTGGCGCGATGTGATTAATTAAAAATCTTATCGGAAACACTAATTAGTCATCATAATCTCTATATATAAAGCTAGCTGACCCATTTTTAGGGTCACGGTTTCACTAAAAAAATTTGGACAAAAATGTTCTCAAAACAAAAAAATTCAAAAGCAGTTCAAAATAATGCCGGGCTATTTTCATCATATAAACATTGTTTTTTAATGATTAATTGTTTTTGTACAGTTTTTTTAATAATTAGTATCTCACAATAGGCTAGTAATAATGTGGTTCAATTAGTTGTATATTAAATATTATTTTTTCTATTTTTAAATACATTCAAAACATCTTAAGAGGCGTGTAGTGCCGGTTATAAAAAAGGTCATTCGCACGCGCATAATAATGTAATTCAATTAGTTGTCAAATGATTATTTTTTTTTTTAACAAACGTTATTATTTACATTAGGGGGCTTAGCCTCACAATTGGCTAACAATAATGTGATTCAATCAGTTGTTTATTTAATATTATTTTCTCTATTTTTAAACACGTTGAAAACATCTTAAGAGACGTGTAGTACCCATTATAAAAAAAACGTTTTTCGCATGCGCATAATAGTGTGATTCAATTAGTTGTCAAATGATTGTTTTTTATTTTTATTTTTTCGAACAAACGATTCTACACTAAGGGGAGGGGATGGACTTAGCCTCTCAATGGGTTACCAATAATGTGATTCAATAAGTAGTTTATTAAATATTATTTTCTCTATTTTAAAACACATTCAAAACATCTTAAGAGACACGTACTGCTGGTGATAAAAAAACAAAAGCCTTTTGCACGTGCACAATAATGTGATTTAATCAGTTGTTTATTAAATATTATTTTCTCTATTGTTAAACACTTAAGAGGCGTGTGGTGCCAGTTATAAAAAAAGGTTGTTCACACGCACATAATAATATGATTCAATTAGTTGTCAAATGATTTTTTTTTTTTTTTTTTTAAACAAATGATGTTATCTACACTAAGGGAGAGGGGAGTAGGCTTAGCCTCACAATAGACTATCAATAATGTGATTCAATGTTTATTAAATATTACTTTCTCTATTCTTAAGGTAAATTCAATAAAATGTAGATGAAAATTGAAAGACTGATTTTATTATGTGGATTCAGCTGCTTTGATTGGTTTATGAGGCGTTTCTTCTAGTATGGTTTAATATTATTCATTTATTTCAAATATTTGACTTTCTCTTTGTCATAAAAAAAATTATTGAAGCAATTCACGCATATAAATACATTTAAAACGTGTAAGTCACATGTAATACGTTATGATTCAAAAAATGTCTTTTGCACACGTATGAGTGAAGGCTAGTAATCAGAAACAGAGCTGGGGTTTTGCACGTACAAGCTAGCTGAATCATCTTTTAAAGGTTGTAGTGTTTGAGAGCTCTGTTTTATGCTAATACAAATGATGTATGTGTGTGTGTGTACATATATATATTAGATGCTGCAACCAACTAGAAACTTTGTTTCTACTAGGAATTGATAGCAGAGCGAGGTTAAAAAGTTACGGGTATGGCTAGAATACTACAGTGTAGGACATGGAATTCACATATTTCATGAGAAGTTTTGAAGTGTCATGATCACTTCAATATGAGATGTTACTAATTTACATATTATAATATGAGTGGATGAAATGACATGATTGATATTTTATGCTTTATATACAATATTAATAAATAAAATAATCTATTATGACATGAGTAGATTGGTAATACCACGTTACCGATACGATAATTATACAAAAAAAAATTAAGGTATTCATATGGTGAAGTAAACGTGTCTTTTGGCACATAAAGACATATCTAAACAACATTTTTATGTGATAGGCAGTTTTATGTGATATGCATAAAATGCTTATGCATACAACTAATTACTCTGTTAAAATTCTAAAATTTTCTAGTGCGCACAAAAAATTGTGACACAAATCAATTCCGAAGTATCAACAGATAATTCTATCAATATTTTTTTAGAGAAATTAGGTTTTCATCCCTATTTTTTCTACTCCATTGATTAAAACCTTATTCGTTTTCAAATTTTGATCAAGATCCATTGTTAAATGTAACATTTCTAACACTAGATGAATATATTCAAAAACAAAATATTTACATGTCAAGATAATTAAGTTTTATTTTTAAATATATTCATCTAGTGTTAGAAATGTTACATTTAACATATTATATTTATGGCTAAACTCTTTATCATACATTTCTATTTCTAGTTTGTACCCATTTTTAATTTGCAATCATTTTTTAAATTGTACCAATTTTCTTTTAAATTTTAATTTGTACCAATTTTCTTTTAAATTTTAATTTGTACCCATATATTAATTTTTTTTTGTCCCTCATTTTCTAAACTTTTATTTGTACCCATAATCTTTTTAACCTTTTATTTGTACCCATAATTTATTTATAATGTACCCATTTTTTTAACAAATGTACCACTTTGTTATATGTAAAATGTATCCCTATTTTTTTTTTGTAAGTACCATTTTTTAATGTAAATTCTATTTATTTTTTAATCTAAAATGTACCATTTTTTTTTAAATAAAATGTACCCATTGTTTTCTATATAATATGTATCCACGTTTTTATATAAATGTACCAAATATATATATATATATATATATATATATAATGTAGCCAAATTTTATTATATAAATGTACTCATTTTATAAAAATAAAAAATAATAAAAAAATCCAATTTTTTTTAATAATCTAGAATGCACCCATAAGGAATTATTATTAATTTTTTATTTTATTTTATTTTTTTATCAAAACCCATAAGCAATTTTGAATAATTAAATTGGTAGTCTAAATGAAAGCAAAAAAAAAAAAAAAAACCGTTGAGTCTTTATTGGTATTATTGCATCTCTTTTATTATTATGTCATTTATGTAGTAGGAGAGGGACTTCAATCAAAAATTTAAAATGCATAAGGTTTGAATCTATAATAGTTAGGGACCAGGTACCGCAACTATACTATCCCATTTTTTTTTTTTTTTTTTTTTCAAATAGGACCTCCAACAAACAATCTCAACAACCCTTTTTATTTGGAAACAAATTAACTTTGTGCATCACAAAGCTTTCTCCCGTTCAAAACAAAACTTTGTTTGCATTAAGTATAAGGGAAAGCTTCGATGAATTCCCAACGTTATGTATTAATGAGGAAAATGAGAAGTTTTCTGTGGGAGAGATCGGGAGAATTGATATAAAATATTAAAACATATCTAAGTTACATGCTTAATACATATAAACGGTTAAAACTCGTCAAGTAAATTGTTAACTTTACATTTATGATTGACGTAATAATTTATTGAGGGGGCTTCCTTTGGGGCCAACCCTCATCACCATTCGAAAGTTCAAACTCTCCATATATAATTCCCTGGCAAAGAATCAACCAAATTTACTTGACGCGTTTGGAAGTTCATAAAACTTTGGTCAAATTTCTTAGTAGCACTGCGCACTATAAAATTTAGATAGAGGACTTGAGAGGACTTGAAAAAGACTAGATCAATATATGTGAAAGTAGAACATTTGTTGTAGCTTCATTTGTAGTGCTTTGAGTAGTTCATTGATAGTGCTCATTTACTTAATTTTAACAATTGAGTCTTAAGTCCTTACGACTTTGAAAGTTCCTCATCTAAAATATAGAGTAAGTAATCTTAATATAATCCTTATATAATCAAATATAGAGTGGTTCAATATTCTAATGGATAGAGTTTTAGGTTTTCCATCCATGCTTCCCGGTAGTAGTTTCAAACTCACCCCTCCCTTCATAATAGTAAATAATAATTGTGATAGGTATTCAAATTAGCATAATGATGGTAAAACAATTTATATATATTGGATCACATTGCGGAGTTGCCCAACGATGCTAATCATTTTCATTATGATCTCTAAACAGATGTATGAGGAAGGAAAAGTACAAGTAGTTTGACTCTCAACCATTTAATAAAATAAATTAACACAAGAAAAGGAGAGAGTAATCAAGATCCATATTGGAAATTGTATAATTTGTTACACAAATAAGGCTCAGAAATTAATTTCGAAGTATTCCAAAATAAAGCCAATTTCACGCTTCCACGTTAAACGTAATAGAAGAAAAAAAAACTAAAAACAAGATGTTACAAACAAGTACAAATTAAGATCAAATTTATCAAAGTGGATGGGGTGTCAATATAGGGTTAGATGGAGCTCCGGTGTCTTAACATGGGTCCCATCTTATTGGAGAAGATGGCCCATTTGTACTTTCTCTTACTTTTAAAAGGGCTGTGAGAGAGGGACCCAACGATTGCAAGAGCCATCTGAATTTCAATTCCCATGCAGACTCTGGATTGATCAGGCAACCAAAAAAAGTAGAGGAGCATATATTTACCAAATGGGTCACCACTATTGTTGCAAACAAAGAAAGGTTAAGAGAGGGCTTTGGTCCCCTGAGGAAGATGAAAAGCTCGTTAGATACATCACCACATATGGTCATGGCTGTTGGAGAAAAGTTCCTGAGCAAGCTGGTCCTGATCTCTCTCTCTCTCTCTCTCTCTCTCTCTCTCTCTCTCATATATACGTACAAAACTTTGCATGAATTAACTTTGTGATTAGGGTTTTGACGTTTATATGTGTGCGTGTGGTTTTTAGGGCTTCAAAGGTGCGGTAAGAGCTGTCGCTTGAGATGGCTCAATTACTTGAGGCCTGATATCAAAAGAGGAGGGTTTACACCAGAGGAGGAGAAATTGATTATTAGACTTCATGGGGTTGTAGGAAACAGGTGCAAATTGGAGTTACCCTACATTAATTTGCATTCTAATTATTCTTACTTTAGGGTTTTTGCATTCTCCCGAACCACAAACATGACTAATTCCTAGCCCCAAAATCATTTTAATTTCTCAACGTGTTATCCAGAAGAGTAAATTGAAGCTATCTATATATGAGGTTTCACCTCATAATTAAATATTGGGTTGATTTAAGCCATTGCGGTTAGCCTAGTGGTAAGGTAGATGAGTAAGAGTATACTAGGTTCTGGATTCAAAAGACTTAGATTAAAAGGTTAGTTAGCTATTGCCAGTAACTGGATTAATCCGAATTTAGTTGTTAAAGTAATGGCTGGTTTGGTATTGTTGTACTTTGAAAAAAAAAAAAAAACTGCTTCTGTTGTGCTGTGAGAATAAGCAGCTGTAAAATAAAGCAACAGAGTGTTTGGTGAACTTTTTTGTAAAAGTGCTTTTGAAAAAAAAAAAAGCAGTATTATAGTGTTTGATAAACTTTTATGTAAAACAAATGTGAAAAAAACTGGTTTTTCAAAGCTGGGTTTTGCAGCTTTGTGTTTTTGGCTTTTTTTCATCCAAAACTGTAAAAAAAAACTGAAGCTGAATGTTTACCGAACATAAAAAAGCTCCTAGCTTTTTTTGATAGCCACTTTTTTTTCAGAATCATCTCAGTACCAAACTAGGGCTTAGTTTCTTTTCCTGAAAAGGTTAAACTTACTTGTTTCAGCTAGCACTGTCATTCATGCACCTTATTATTTTGGTGAGTCTAGTTTTCCTTCGATCTTAATATCTTACAATTCTAGTGTCACAAACATTGTTAGCAGATGAAAATTTTGAAATTTGTTTTCCTTTGATCTTTAGTACCTTGCATGATTCTTTAATTGGGGATGTGATCGTCGGTACCTCTTATCACTCTAACATGAATTAATAAATTGTAGATGGACGCATATAGCAAAATGCCTACCCGGAAGAACCGACAATGAGATAAAGAACTACTGGAATTCATGGATTAAAAAGAAGCTAGAAAAGCCTTCTTCACCACCAACCACATCTCCTTCAAATCTTGATCATCAGCACAATTATCAAATGGGTTGCAGTTATCCAAACCAACAAGTTTTTATGAACCAAAATTTTATTACAAAACCTACAGCAGCTAGGGATCAAATCCTATACCCTTCTCCATACCCTCTATTCATGTTTGATGCTGTTTCACTTGATGAGACTACCAACAACAACACTAATGTACAATCAGCCGATCAGCATTTTCCACTTGCCAGGTCGAATAATTCGAACAACAACGGAACATGGATTTTGGATCAGCAGCAACAGCATCAAGTTCAAGCCTTTCCTTCTTCTACAGCACCATTTACAAACAATAATATGGATGCACAGATTCTACCATCCCTCCTAGGGTCAAGCATTGGAAACAATAACATGGTTCCTATTGAAGTGGAGTCATGTAGCAATATTGATGAGGAAGAAGAGATTTCAATGGAGTGCTTGCAAAGTGCTACACAGGAGCTGAATCCATTGGTACATTCCCGCCAGGCTCAACAGTGTTCATCAAACAACTTTCATTTTTGGGACAATGTTGAAGGACCAACTTTATCTAATTTGAGATCAGCTAATATATTGTCTTCTTTCCCATCATATCTATAAGAGGCTTGATGATGATGATAACGACAAATATGATGATGAATCGATGATGATGACGATGGTGGTGATGATGTGGTGATGGTGGCGGTGGTGCTGGTAGTGATGGTAATGATGACTAGCTAAAGCTTCCCCCCATCAGCCTGGCATTGAAGGAAGAAACTTGCAGTTTCAGGTTTCAGGAAACCTATATTTACGTAATACTTTTAACTGTTATACTGTGAAATACGATTACGTATAGAAAACAAAGTATAGATATGATGTGTATAAATGGATGCAATGTTCCTACTCGAGTTTAATTCTTGAAATCAGAAGTACTAATTAAGGAATAAAGGCTCAAGCAAGAGAAATAATTTCATGCATGCATGTGGCCTATCGGTTACCAAACCTCATGCGTAATACTGGCAGAGCCACTACTAGAAGAAAAACTAACATATTTTGGAGCGGTGGAGCAAGTATTTCTACAACAACTAATCACTTGCATGTGATTAATTGTTCCAGTTAGAGCCTTCGTATTAAAGAATTTGAGTTCGAACCCTCCCCTCTTCAGTTTAATTCAAATTAGATCTAATTTTGCTTGTAATTGAAAACACTAATCAGGTTGATGAGTGATGTAGAAAATTCTATATATCCTTAGGTAATTAAGTTAATTTTTCCTTATAATTAACTAGGGCTAGATTTGGTCATAACCTTATATAGGGTTACAATTTTGTCAATTCACTTCCTAGGACTCGTTGGAATCAATTTGTACGAAGGAAAAGGGCATTTTTTTTGTAGCAGCATTAGAATCAGGTCATGAAGAGAAAGGGAGAAGGTGATTTCGGGTTTGATTTTGTCAAGGGTTGTTGAAGAATTGAAGTGAGGCACCTACAGTGGCATTAAGTGAAGAGGGATGGAGGATAATAGGCCCAGATTTGCGAAGAAATTTATGTGGTTTATGTTGTTTTAAACTTATGGAATGACAAATATCTTGTGTAGAATTATACAAAAATCTAGAGGTGGGCACGGTTCGGTTTGGAGCAGTTTCAAACGGTATTAGTTTGGTTTTAAAAACTGTTAAGTTTTTAGACATCATAAAGAGTGCTCTTAAAAGGTACAAATTAAACATAACCAGTAGCTAATCAAACCACTAGAAAATGCCATAATCCATATTTAAAATGAAACTAATCCCTCATTAAAAACTAGTAAAAATCCTCACAGAGCAACCTTAATTATTAGCTAGCTAGGTACCAATTGCACACAAAAATTAGGGCTTGGGAAGAAGAAATGAATGAATTATTAGGCGTTCGAACCAAATTCGTGCACCATCGTATGTAGAGGAAGTGCACAAACACGGACAACCTATAAAATAATAAACAACCTTGAGCAAGCCTAGGACGGGAGAGAGGGGTCGGCCAAAGGCTTTCTGACGGTCAAGTTAATGAACTGTTTTAGACTCAAGCCACGGGCAAGAGAATTCAAGTATAAAGATTGCGTTATCAGAGACGAACCCTAGATGGGTGTATTTATGCCTTGGGGAGATAGACCTTTTTAGGATAGAATCCTCGTTCTAAGCCGGTAAAATCCTAAAGGATATCTAGAAGTATATATTGCATCTTCTTAGGAGTTGTGATTACTTACAGCGTACGCCAATTCCTAGATTGTATGAACTCTAAGACTTATAAAGATCTAATTGTGGCTATATCTGGATCAGATTACGTGTCTTATGGAACAAGCATGGTCATCCAATGGATTCACTTGGATTTCACATATAGCCCCAGAACAAGATGATGGTGGTACCGTTGCTCCATCTAATACAACCCTGCTTGGAGCTGGTGAGTCCATGACCTAACTTCTAAGGTAATTGTATTCGGATAAGCAAACTCCAGCCCTAGAAAATTATGGTCTTTTAAATGGTTTGCAACTTTACATGTATACTCTGTGCAGTAGATAACATATATCAATGATCCAATGCTAAGACATATGTATATTAGTTACCCAGCAAACAGACTTGCACCTTCAAATCTGTCATGCCCCGATCCCAACATACATCCAAGATCGACATGTGACGACACCAAGTACCCGTATATCTATCTTACCTCGCCTCCAGCTATGAACAAAGTAAAACTCAAGTCCCAAATTCGTAGTAATTTTTCGTATATTTTATGGCCGCATCTAACCTCCTCGTTACACTGCCTACGTACCCTAAATAGGGATCAAGCCATTCGTAGTTCACCAAACACTACACTCGACTTTTATCACAGTACTTTTAAGTAGAAAATCATTGCACTCATCAATCAATTATTAGAACTTGACAAGCATAAAATTACTAGGTTCAAGGCTACATAACAATCCCACATGACAATCAACATTTCCACTTCATCCATCACATAAATCATTCCACAATCACTCCAATTAATCAATTCCATGAATCACATATGCATGATATTAACATTTGACTATGTTAATCAATCAACAAGATCACATATCAATACATGAATTTAATTAAAGAACTCTACATAATTCCCTACTTGGATTATAAGTAATAGCATGGTAAATTTCATTTATATTCACAAGATCTAATGTGGTTAATCCCTATTCACTCGAATCTAGGGGCCAGACTAACTTTATGGAAGCGAGCAAAAGTAAGGATTCCAGATTACTCAACGGAATCCAACAAAACTATGGTCGCCTATTTCAAATGTGCCAAGTACAACTAATCCTCATCACCTTTAGAATGTGTATAGTCCCCCATCGCGAATATACCAAGTAGAACCATAGGCATAATCTCATTGTGCAGGCAGTGATCACCAAGCAGGACCACATCCTAACTCTAGCTAGTGATCAACCATCGTAGATATACTAAGCATGATCATTCCTAGAATGCGTATGGTCCCTCATTGTGGATATACCAAGCAGGACTATCCATGTACCACTGCTACACATCAACCATAAGCCAAACAATAATTGTCATCATGTCATTCACACAGGTATGCCAATCATGTACACATATGTTTTCCACACCATTCCACAATCGCATCAATCTATATCACATACCAAGCATCAAAATGCAGGGCTAAAGCAACATTGTTCAACCGAAGTCTACATCTCTAAAGAATTGGATTTCGGATCACTCAACAAAATCCAACAACATCAAGTTCTGAACCACTCAACGGAACCAAAACACCAAGCAGGATTCCTGACCACTCAACGGAATCCAAACTAGGATACGATTCTGGACCACTCGATGGAATCGCAGAGTGGAAAGGATTTCATACCTCTCAACAAAATCCGAGTGGATACAATTCCAGACTACTCAACGGAATCGTGGAGTACAATGGATATCATACCACTTAATGAAATCCAAGGTAAGATACAATTTTGGACCAGTCAACGGAATCGCGGATCACGAGGGATTTCGAACCTCTCAACGGAATCTAGATGGAGCAAGGAACCAGACCACTCAACGGAACCCCAGTGGATACCCAGTTCTGGATCACTCAACAGAACCGAGCAGAAGGCCAAGAAACATATCAACGGCTCGAAGAACAAAACATGAACCAAGTGCTCAATTTACAAAGTCTCAACGAAATGAAACAAAGCACAAGTACTAGATTTAGAACGGATAAATGAAGGGAGAAATAAAACAATGAAACGGGATATGAAACAAGCTCTAAAGCAACAAACCCCCTAGCAATGGGTTAATGGTCCACTACTAGCCCTCACATTTCATCACATTATACCAATCATGCAAATCAAACCACATCTCAAATATGCATGTCAATCACATTTCACAAATATCATCAGTACACAAGTCAAATCACGTTTAATAAACATAAGTCATTGGCTAATTATATAAAAATCACATTTAAATAGAAATCACATTTATAAAAACCAATTCACAAATGATATCAATGTAAGAAATCAAGGTAATAACCATATCATGTATATTCAAGTCACTCTCTAGCCAATGTAGGCTCACTAGACTTCACTTAGGTATGGTTTGGTATTGAGGTGATTTATAAAAAAAACTAGTATGAAAAAAAGCTGAAAGAGTTTTTGGTGTTTGGTAAACACTCCAAATCAACTTTATTTCAAAGTTTCAGATGAAAAAAAGCTAAAAATAGGAAGCTGCATTTTACAGCTTCAAAAAGCAGCTTATTTGAAAAACACAGAGCTACAGTAATCTTTTTAATGAATTTTTCAATTTGCCAACATTGCCCTCCTTTCTCCTTTCTCCTACCTTCCTCACACTTTCAGACTTTCTCTCTCTCGCACACCCTCTCGCAAAATACAGACTCTCTTTTGCACACCCTCTTCCTCTGTTGCCTGTCGATACACCTCTTCCTCCTCCTCATTTTCATCTTTCTCCATCGATCTCCGCACCACAGACGCCGCCGTCGCCTTCCCTATTTCCTCTGGTAAGCTTTTCTTGTCTAAAATTTCATTATTTATTTGTTTGGATTTTTAAATTTGGGGATGGGGAGAGTGAGTGAAAGAGGGGTGGGAAGAGTGAAAGGAAGAAGTGTATGGGTATCGGGAAAAAAAAAACTAGGGATGCAGGAAACAACTGGGGGAAAAAATTAGGGAAAAAATTAGGGTTTGTGGAGGAAACAAACCCTAAAAGAGGTAGGAGAGAGAGAAAGAATTGCTGAAGAGAGAGAGATATAGAGAGAGAAAGAGAAAGCGAAGCAAGAGGTAGTCATTTTCATACTTATATATTTTTAATTTCTCTTCTATGTGCATTGTTCTTTATTGTCTATGAATACCATTTCAATCTGTGTGCTAATTTTGATTTTCCTAATCTAAATTTCATCCCCAATTCGACCTATCCCAAGTTTCGAAATCCCACTGCTCGATTCAATTCAATTCCTTTTTTTTTTTTTTTTTTTTTTTTTTTTTTTTTTTTTTTTGTAATTGTTCTTGTATTGAATTGGTTTGTCAATTCTGAGGTTCTTTGGTTAATTTAGAGAATTAGGATTGACTCATTTCTGGGTACTGTTAATTTGGAGAATTGACATAATTTG